AATGGCCAGAAAATAATTCCACCCTCTGCCAGGACAGAAAGAGTCTCCCAAGTGCCCATATATTTCTCTCATCAAAAAATACATCAGAATTTACTTCAGTATCCAAAGAAGGAAAATCCTTTAGATGCTTAGAGGGTATAATCATTTGCAGAACTGCTCCCTTAGCCGTGACCCTTCTCATACCTGAATAGGTCAACTTGACCACGCAAAGTTCGCATCCGTTGCTGTGCATTATTTCACATTATAATGCATGCCAAGTGTTAGAAGGATTTCCCAAGAGCTACTATGGAATTTGGAGCACTGGGGGGTCAATTCATTTATCGGATTTTTTTGCCATGAGAGCAAAAGAGAAATTAGAGAATCAAAGATCATGGTCAGACTACTCCTGTCCCAGTTTTGGCTCTGGTCCCTCTCCCTGGCCATTACAAACCCAGAGTGCTTTCCAGATGTCTTAGTTCAAGCCTACCTCCTCTGTGCTGGCTTCATCGCTTTTTCTGCTAGGTCTTCAAGAGGATGCATCCCTGGTTTTTGACAGAGCAATTGCAGATCTGGACAGGAAAGCAGGAAGACAAGCAGTATCTTTGCTCTGCTGGCTGATTCCTCCTGAGAAGTCTTCCCAGCAACAGAGGGCTGCAGACAGAAAAGATATCAAGGCTGTCTAGTACATGCTGTCATAGGCTGAAGGAAAGTAGCTCAGCTGTGAGGAACAACAATGCTGCAGTGACACAAACCAGTGCTTACACGAAGAGGCCAGGACCCATGTGTGCTGTAACTGCAGGCTGCCATTCGGTCCAACTGGGGAGCGTGGACCATTCTGAAGTAGTGACCAGAAGCACGGATCTGCTAGCACAAACTCACCCAAGGCTAGGATCATCACACAGCAGTCTCCAGACAGGTGGGTACTGCACAGCACATCTCACCTCCTGGGTAGCCGAGGCAGCCAAGTCAGCCAGACTTCCATGCCACATGTGGCAGAGCTCATCTGAAGATACACAACCAGCACTAGCCTGGACTCCTGAATTTCTTCTGTTGTGACCAGACTACCAGGTGAACAGCCTTTAAATCACACCCAGACAAGTTTACAGGCTGGGCATGAGGGGCTGAGGCGATGGGAGGGTGGAAATAACACCTGCTGGAACTCAATAATAGGGGTGCCTTCCCAAACAAGAGAACTTCATGTTTTCCTAGCCTGCAATGACTGAGCACCATTAGGCAGTCCCTGAAAGGGAACAAAGGTTCTTAAATAAAAAGTATCATTTACAAGCAGATGTGCTAAGCACTATCACTACATCAGAAGCCACTTTTGCTTAAACTGCTAGGGGAGAAGAGGCTTCTTGTTCTCAGCTCTGCAGCAGGCTCCTTCGCAACCAACATCACTGTGATCTCTCCCTCCCTTTTACCACCTGGGAAGTGTCTTCCCTACTAAGTAAGGATGCTGGGGAACTCAGGATGAAGCAGCAGTATCAGACTGGGAAGCCCTACTTGAC